AAAGATAAGTGCACTTTTTTAAGTAAGAATATAATTTTGTCCCTGAGAATAGGGTAGTGAGATAAGAACCCTCGAGTGCATTAACTTTGGGACAACTAGGTTCTATGTGCCTTACAAACTGTGTAATGTTTTTACATTCTATGCTTAATTAATTAAAAGAATGAAAAAAGAAGAAAGAGAGGAGCCTTTAGACTACTGGAACCTCCATGGGGGTTAACCCCTTGTAAATTGGCAAAAAGAAAAGAAAAATTGGAGATTCCCGTTCTGATAAAAATTAACACCAATGGAGCACAAATAAATAAAACGTCACTTTTAATAAATCCAATAAAAAGTCCCTTAATCATAAGGGCTCTACACTCACTTTTGTGATAAACACGTGTTGCTACACCACATCTAAATGTAAATCACTAAATTAACGCTAAAAATTGTGATTTCACTAGAGGGAAAAAATGCCCACTCTAAGATATATAAGTCTGGTTTAGTGAAATCTTTCTCTATAAATAGTGCTAATAACTGAACTGTTAATAACACAATTCTAGGGTGAACCCAGACTCTACTGTAATAAATTTACCAAAACATAATCTGAATTATTGGCGCTCCAATTCTGGATAAATGTAACCTCAACTACTGGTAAGATAGATTACTAGATACTCGTATGCTTACATATTAAGGTAGCTGCTCAGACTGTTAGAATTAATCATCCTTAGTGCCCGATGTAACATTGTTGCTAATTTCTGTTAGCAGAGTTATCCTGAGTATAACCATATTATTTAACCCTGGGTACAATTTTATTGGACAGCATAGCTGCTTGTATAGTTTGTTAGCTGTTGAACGTGGGAAGAGAAAGAGGAGGATACAGTAATGAACAGTAATCCCCTTTGTTCGACCTGTGGGGCGGTATTTGTAATCAGATGGCTATCTAGCCTGTCCCTTCAAATCCCACGATACAGCCTTAATGCAGCAAAGCTATTAAAGAAAGATAGATTGACTATCTAATTACAATTTCGAATTTAAGTCTGCTCAGCATAGAGGTTCTCTCTTAGGGTTAAAATCGTCTATATTGACACCCCCCTCCAATTCTCGAACGCTAATGCGTGAATTTCCTCTATACTGCGAATAAATAATATTTGAAAGTCTAGAGCTACTCGGCATACTAATACTATCTAAGGTTACTCGTCAAAGTCTGCGCCACCCTACATATCCCTGACGCGCGTTTCGCTTATCAGCTCATCAGAAGGAAGCCGGGGTCCTTAACCTCCCGGTCTTTTAAGGGAAATACCCTATTACTATTGGTGACCGTTATTTTTGAATCAACCAATGAAAGAGAAGATACTCATCTGTTGCTAACTAACGTGATCGTTAGATTAAGAACGGGTTGATTAACCCTTTCTATTTTGATCACTGAAATAATCAGAAAAGTTAATAAAAACAATATAAATAAATAAGGAAAAGATCTATTTTAGTATTATGCAAAGTTATTGCCAGCTTTAAAGAAATGGTTATTGTGAATTGTGTAATTTCTCATAATAATCACCCTTTTTAGAAATGTATAAATCAATGTTCTATCTTTCATGAGGTCATTTCTCGTGGCAAAGATATCTGAGCTATGTCCAATATGCCATCTATCATAGATATAATCTTAGGATTGTGAACTATATAAATACGGTCCAATTTATTCCTGGGGATACTACACTTTTTCTCAGGGATTTTAGAATGCTATTATATGAGACAGATGTTTCAGTCGCGTCCCCTGGATAATATTGTGCCTACATTGTTTAGCGATACTATTCTACATTTACCGGATTAAATGTAACCCAACTTTAGATAATACTGCAGTAAGCTACTCGTTGTTTTCTAACACTTTCCTCATCCTTTGCCGTTAATGACAGACACCGAAATATTATATCGAAATCTCGATCTCTGTATCAACCTAATATAAATTAATAGTGTGTATGTTTAGACATACATACTGAATGTAAAGTATATTCAGGTTGATAATTATTAACACGGTTCAGCCCCCACTCAAATAACTGACTTTTTCTTTATGAATAAATCTTGATCAAGTAGAGTTTCTTATTTATGAAAGAACTTTCAACATTTGTATTTATTAATTTAATTGATACGGTCCTAGTATCTTTAATACATGATTAACACACTATTAATTTATATTAGGTTGATACAGAGATCGAGATTTCGATATAATATTTCGGTGTCTGTCATTAACGGCAAAGGATGAGGAAAGTGTTAGAAAACAACGAGTAGCTTACTGCAGTATTATCTAAAGTTGGGTTACATTTAATCCGGTAAATGTAGAATAGTATCGCTAAACAATGTAGGCACAATATTATCCAGGGGACGCGACTGAAACATCTGTCTCATATAATAGCATTCTAAAATCCCTGAGAAAAAGTGTAGTATCCCCAGGAATAAATTGGACCGTATTTATATAGTTCACAATCCTAAGATTATATCTATGATAGATGGCATATTGGACATAGCTCAGATATCTTTGCCACGAGAAATGACCTCATGAAAGATAGAACATTGATTTATACATTTCTAAAAAGGGTGATTATTATGAGAAATTACACAATTCACAATAACCATTTCTTTAAAGCTGGCAATAACTTTGCATAATACTAAAATAGATCTTTTCCTTATTTATTTATATTGTTTTTATTAACTTTTCTGATTATTTCAGTGATCAAAATAGAAAGGGTTAATCAACCCGTTCTTAATCTAACGATCACGTTAGTTAGCAACAGATGAGTATCTTCTCTTTCATTGGTTGATTCAAAAATAACGGTCACCAATAGTAATAGGGTATTTCCCTTAAAAGACCGGGAGGTTAAGGACCCCGGCTTCCTTCTGATGAGCTGATAAGCGAAACGCACGTCAGGGATATGTAGGGTGGCGCAGACTTTGACGAGTAACCTTAGATAGTATTAGTATGCCGAGTAGCTCTAGACTTTCAAATATTATTTATTCGCAGTATAGAGGAAATTCACGCATTAGCGTTCGAGAATTGGAGGGGGGTGTCAATATAGACGATTTTAACCCTAAGAGAGAACCTCTATGCTGAGCAGACTTAAATTCGAAATTGTAATTAGATAGTCAATCTATCTTTCTTTAATAGCTTTGCTGCATTAAGGCTGTATCGTGGGATTTGAAGGGACAGGCTAGATAGCCATCTGATTACAAATACCGCCCCACAGGTCGAACAAAGGGGATTACTGTTCATTACTGTATCCTCCTCTTTCTCTTCCCACGTTCAACAGCTAACAAACTATACAAGCAGCTATGCTGTCCAATAAAATTGTACCCAGGGTTAAATAATATGGTTATACTCAGGATAACTCTGCTAACAGAAATTAGCAACAATGTTACATCGGGCACTAAGGATGATTAATTCTAACAGTCTGAGCAGCTACCTTAATATGTAAGCATACGAGTATCTAGTAATCTATCTTACCAGTAGTTGAGGTTACATTTATCCAGAATTGGAGCGCCAATAATTCAGATTATGTTTTGGTAAATTTATTACAGTAGAGTCTGGGTTCACCCTAGAATTGTGTTATTAACAGTTTAGTTATTAGCACTATTTATAGAGAAAGATTTCACTAAACCAGACTTATATATCTTAGAGTGGGCATTTTTTCCCTCTAGTGAAATCACAATTTTTAGCGTTAATTTAGTGATTTACATTTAGATGTGGTGTAGCAACACGTGTTTATCACAAAAGTGAGTGTAGAGCCCTTATGATTAAGGGACTTTTTATTGGATTTATTAAAAGTGACGTTTTATTTATTTACATTCTATGCTTAATCACAAATAAGAATTAGTGCTGACTCTATAACATAATATTAATTTTATTAAAGACACAGAGGCTCCTATTATACTTTCTCTTTCCTTTAATTTCCCTCAGAAGCGAAAAGAGAGATGTATACAAAAGAGAAAAATAACATAACATTGCAAAGTAACAGTGCTACCAATCAGCACCCAGTATATAAGGTGTAGCACTCCATAACTCTTCCGCTTTCTTCGCTGCTCCCTCAGACCAGCTAAGTACATTCCTTTTTTCTACACTACACAACTGTATTTTTATTACCAAGAGTCATGTTATGTTAGCCTAATTGCTACTTCTGTGTGATTGTTTTTTACTGTCTGGGAAGTGTGCCAGCTAGTTTCACCTCTATACATATCTGGGTGGGTTTCTACCACCCTGCCTTCCCTTAGGGACCCCTTTCCCTGCCTCCCTCTCGGCAATCATTTGCCTGGCAGAGGGAAGGCAACAAGGGCTCCCCCTTTCTCTTCCCAACCTTTCCATCTCACTACTGCGGGAAACCGCGGTCGCTGGGACCCGCCTGTGGCTTTCGTCGCAAGTTTCTCAGTGAGTATAGTGATGTTCACGGGACTCTTGCGAACAGTGAGCTCCGTTTGGATCCCGATAGCCGCGCATGTGCAGTGCGCTCGCGGCGGCCATTTTAATGGTTTCCGTCATCGTGGGAATCTCAGTGTGGGTCTGGTTATTAGGTGGAACACAGCTCCTATTCCTCTGACACACTCCTGGTCACTGGTATTGTTGAATTTGTCTGTGTATGCTGTAGTTTTCTTTGCTCCTATTGACTCCTTAGCTTAGTGCGGCTGGATTAAGCAATACTTGCCTCATTTATCTATTTTTTTTCTCCTTGTTGCTAACCTTAATAGGGTTTTTTCTCTCAGGGCCCCAAGTGGCTCTGCTGGGCTTTATACCTGGGAGGAAGTTCCTGCTTTAACTTCAGCATGCAGTCTGCTGGCGATGGGCCTTCTGGCCTTCTGGCCACCCACTGCCACTGTCCGGGGCCCCTATCTCTGACCTCATAGGTGACACCAATCTAATGGGTTCAGAAGAATTTCAATGCCTGTTAGACGTAACAATGTCTAACTCCATTAGCAAGGCCATAACATCGGCCATGGGAGTTATGTCCTCCACTATTACCCACACTATCCCACAGGCTCTGATGCAGGCATACCCTGCCCCTCTAGCCACCTTGCAGACTCCTGCCACTTCTAGTGTAGCCTTGCTGGGCTGGAAAGCCCAGAGGAAGCGTAAACACGCGAGTGTCCCTCTTCACACCAAGGAGACCCCCGGTTTGACCGACACGCCTCAGGCTGTCTATGATGGCGAGCAACAACTATGCAACGGTGCCACTGGCTGGGCAAAAGCGACCAGAAATTGGAAACAGACGAGGGGCCAAGATATGCTGTCTGATTTGGATAAAAGTGAGGAGGAGGGATCAGACGTGCCATACTCAGATCCTTATGAGGACGAAATTTCTGAAGACGAGGACCTTGCAATTTGCAATTTGCATCCACAACGGCCAAAGCTACCCAAACGTCTGCGCTGTCAGACGTAACAGGGTCAGGCGAAATCCAGGACACAAAGGTGACCCCTTTGTTCAATCCAGATAACCTACCCCACCCTCGCTCCGCAGAGTTGAAACCACCGGAGCATATTGAGCAAATCCAGATAACCTACCCCACCCTCGCTCCGCAGAGTTGAAACCACCGGAGCATATTGAGCAATACCTGGCGCTGACAGTTCGTAAACCTCTCTCCCAAGAGGGTCGTAATAAGCAAAGGGCCGAATGCCCCCGACCTGTCATACCAGACATGGTAGCAAAGACCCCCGAGGTGGACTCACAGATCGTCCAATTTTTAGCTAAACCTAGATAACTGTCAGGACAAATTCTTGGACCCGATTAGATTTTGAAGTGGCCTTTGGTTGGCTACAGCGACTGGTGTGCAATGTCAGCAATGTCAATACGGCCATGTCCACAGAACGCAGGAAAGCAATTTTACTTAAAATTGAAACTAAATTGTCTAGTATGGCTACCACGGAACAAGAAGCAGCCGCTAAGAGTCTGCTATTTGGCGAGTCCTTTGTGTAGGACCTCGGAGCATATGTGAAGACTTTCATAGCGCTAGATAAAGCACAATCTTCCATTAAGAGAGTTTTTCACCAAAAGGTTTTTGTTGCTAGAGGTAGGAACTGTATATCCGGCCGCAACCCCCGGGGTTTTTCCAGACCGGGCAGAGGCTCCTTCAATCCGCACAGACCAGTGCAAGAACGCACGTATACTCCTTTCTTCCCTACCAGAGGACAACCTTGGAATGCCAGCAGCAGTAGAGGAACGACTCCAGGAAAAAGTCCTTATGGTGAATACTATTTATCCTCATTTTTCCCATATAAATGTGGGGGGGAAGACTGGCTCTGTATTACCAAACCTGGGCTATGATTACATCCGATATATTGGTCTTACACACAATCCAGGGGTACCATTTAGAATTAACCGCTTTACCCATACAGGACACCCCACCACGGGTGCTTAGAATGTCCAAAGAACATCACAACCTAATCTCCACAGAGATCAGGGAATTGAGGTCAAAGAACGCTATCGAATAAATCCCTCGAGATACGCCAGGGTTTGTGAGCAACCTCTTTCTGGTGCCAAAAAAGGGCGGAAGCATTCCACCGGTCATAAATGTGTGACCACTGAATGCCTTTGTCCATACCGGCATTTCAAGATGAAAGGCATCCACTGCCTCAGAGATCTACTACTAGCAATGAATTGGATGGTCAAACTCGACCTGAAGGATGCTTACCTGACAGTCCCCGTGGCAGAGGACCACAGGGATCTGCTACAATTCTGATGGGGAACGAAGAAATGTCACTTCACATGCCTCCCTTTTGGCCTGTATTCAGCCCCTTCGTGCTTCAAGAAAGTCCTGAAGCGAGTGGTGGCCTTCCTGAGACTACACGGAATTCGACTAATCATCTACTTAGACGATATCCTCCTACTTTCACAAACGCGAGAACAACTGACTGTCCATCTGACATGGACCGTACATCTCCTTCAAAATCTAGGTTTCCTGGTGAACTGGGAAAAATCAGTACTCTAACCATCCCAACATATGGAGTTTCTGGGATTTCGAGTTGATTCCATCCAACAGGTCCTATGTCTTCCGACAGAGAAAATATCAAATATCAAGAAGGAGATAAAACAGTTGATGAACCATTTTAAACATATCCCTGCGTCAATTAGCGAGGGTCATCGGCTTGTTGGCCGCCTCCATCCAGGCGATTTTCCCGGCCCATTACACTACCGTGCTTTGCATAGATTGAAGGAATTCTGCTAAAAGGATCACTATAGGCACCCAGACCACTTCAGCTAAATGAAGTGGTCTGGGTGCCTGGTCCATCTAGGTTTAACCCTTTTTGCAGTAAACATAGCAGTTTCAGAGAAACTGCTATGTTTACTTTAGGGTTAATACTGCCTCTAGTGGCTGTCTCATTGACAGCCGCTAGAGGCGCTTCCATGCTTCTCACTGTGATTTTCACAGTGAGAAGATGCCAACGTCCATAGGAAAGCATTAGTAATGCTTTCCTATGAGACTGGCTGAATGTGCGCGGGGCTCTTGCCGTGCATGCGCATTCAGCCAGGGACGTCAGAAGAGGGAGGAGAATCCCCAGCGCCGAGGGAGCCCCGGGAGTGGGACCCTGAAAAAAGGAGTATGTTTTCCTGGCACTATAGTGGTCCTTTAAGAAGTGGCAACTCAAACAAAACATGCATTTTGCTAGACAAGGAATCCAGGGAAGAATTGACCTGGTGGCTGGCCCACATGGAAGCATGGAACGGGCTAGCGATATTCGGATCCACCCCAGATCTCGTGATAGAATTAGATGCAAGCTTAAATGGCTGGGGCAGGCGTTGCAGTCCCATATCCACAGGAGGCAGATGGTCCTTTCTGCATATCAATTGTCTGGAGCTGCTGGCAGCCTCGTTTGCCATTCTCTCCCAAGAACATCTCCTGTTCGATCCTCCTCAAACTAGACATTTCCGCCGTCCACTACATCAATCATCTGGGGGCACCAAATCACAAATCTTAGTGGTATTGGCTTGAAACTTCTGGCATTATTGTCTACGACACAGCATATCCGTGACTGCGGAGCACATACCAGGTCTGCAGAAATACACGGCGCACTGGAACTCCCGTTTCCTGAGGGACATTGGGGATTGGAGACTTCAACCATCTATATTTAAAAAGATTACCTACCTCAGTTCTTCAGCTGGAGGCCGGACCTGGAAGCATTCCTTCAGGATTGGATCGCAGCCTGTTCGTATGCCTTCCCTCCATTCAATCTGATTGCTCGGATTCTAGCATACCTGCAACAATGCAAAGGCACTATCGTCCTGATAACTCCATGCTGGAGGTCACAACCTTGGTTCCCACACCTATTAGAAATGGCAATAGACTATCCACGACTGCTACCTGACAACCCCTCTCCAGACGTGGAGAGTCACGGACTCATAGACCAAGGCCTCCTGCGTCTCATAGGATGGCTAATTTCTGGGGACCCTGGGAAATCACAGATGTTTCACAAACAACTACCCAACTCCTGGCAAACACTTGGGCACCAGGAACGCGGTTCCTATCACGCAGCATGGAAAACATGGTCCGATTGGTGCCTGGAATGGTCAGTGGATCCTATATCAGCTACTGTGAAGATGGTGTTGAATTTTCTTACGCACCTGTTCGAATCAGGCAAGGCCTTTCGTACCGTCAACCTATACCGGTCAGCAATCTCGGCAGGACATAAAGGTTTTCGATGGTCTTCCAATCGGGCAAAACCCAGTGATCTGCCGCTTACTCAAGGGTATTCGTTTTTCACGCTCCCCAAAACCTAAGTATGGATCATTTTGGGAAGTGAATGTGATTTTCAAACTACTAGACAACTGGCCACTAAACGCCGAAATATTTCTGAAACAATTATCGGACAAATGCTGTTTTGTTTGCTCTCCTGCAAACGAGTGTCTGACGTCAGAGCTTTGGATTGGCAAGCCTGGGTGTTCACCCCAGAAGGAGTATCCTTCGATATCTCACAAAGGACGAAGCCTGCGACCAAGAACGTCTTTTACCCTAGATTACCAGGACAACCAAATCTTCGCCAGATTTTATGTCTGAAGGAATATGAGCTGGGAACATCTCCATTGCGCCCGTCACAAGACGGCCCATGTAGCGGAGGAGCAGGGGTTAATCCAATGGCTCTCCGCTGGAAACAAAGATTCAGCATACAAAATCACAGGAACACAGCATAATCCACCTCCCCAAGGACTAGACAACACATAGTCTGGGAGTCAACCTCATGTAGTTGGCATAACCTCTCAAAGTCATGCAGGTAACCATCAATGTCCTCGGTTTCCACATAATTTTTAAAAGCATGGTATGGAATTTTAGGCTTCCATTGTACTATGCGTGGTGGGGTTGGGGACCCCTCTCTGGACCTCCGGTCTGCCTGCTGCTTTGCCATTAGGTATTCGTGAACATCTGCCATAATCCTTTCCAAGGTTTCTCTGGGAGGTGTATCTGGGAAAAAGGCCAGTCTGCTTTGGAGTTCTCTTCCAAACTCATTCTGTGTGCTGTCTGTGGCGGAACCAACCTCGCCACTATGCACTGGAGAAGCCTGGTTGCCAGCCTCCTGCCATGTGACTATGGCCCCTGGGATGTATTGCCCTTTAAAGACATGATTTGGGCATAATGGATTTGTGTTGTGCTGCTGCTGGCCCTTTTAAGAACCATCTGGGGACATACTGTGGAGTTACATTGGTGGCAAGCGGTGGGATGGCGTCCTAGTGCGAGGTAAAGCAGCTCAGAGACACCGTTTGTGGAGTCACAAATTGAGGACAACGCTAGCGCACGTGCAGCGCCCCGGGAGCAGAGGTATCCAGCGACTTGGAGCAGACAAGTATGGAAGGCTCTGGTGATGATTGGCTGGCCGAGGTGAGGCAGCGAGTGGCCCAGTATGGTGATAATGTGCCCATGGATATATTCCAGGCGATCTGGAACCAGGTCACAGCCGAGCGAAACACAAGGATGGACCGAGAATTCCGGCTGGCGAAAGAGAGAGAATATGCTCAGCGGAAGGAGTGTTACAGCAGCCAAAGAGAGGCTGCATTCGAGGAGGTTAACCGTTTCCCCCTGAGGCGGCCAGAGGAACCCGAAGTAGGGGTCCTCATAGACTGGTCCTGTGAGGAACCACAACAGGCAGGTGGAGATGGGACCGAGGTCTCTCCACCAGGCCCAACGGGATGCTGGGCAGCCGGCCCAGATCCCCAGCAGCAGCCAGAGTTAGCGGGTGCGGAAGCCAGTGGTCCTTACTCGCAAATGTTGAGGGACCTCACAGACTGGTCCTGGGAAGACCCACAGATGGCAGGTGGAGATGGGACTGCGGTCTCTCTACCGGCCCTACAAGGATGCTGGGCGGTCAGCCCAGATCCCCAGCGGCAGTGTGTGTTACAGGGAGCTGAAGGTGCCGTCCTTCCTCCCCAGCGGCAGTTTGAGTTACAGGGAGACAAAGGTGCCGTCCTTCCTCCCCAGCGGCAGTGCGAGTTACAGGGAGCCAAAGGTGTCGTCCTTCCTCCCCAGTGGCAGAGTGAGTTACAGGGAGCCAAAGGTGCCGTCCTTCCTCCCCAGTGGAAGAGTGAGTTACAGGGAGCCAAAGGTGTCGTCCTTCCTCCCCAGCGGCAGTGTGTACCCCAGGGAGCAGAAGGTGTTGTCCTTCCTCCCCAGCGGCAGTGTGAGTCCCAGGGAGCCAAAGGTGTCGTCCTTCCTCCCCAGCGGCAGTGTGTACCCCAGGGAGCAGAAGGTGTTGTCCTTCCTCCCCAGCAGTGCCCAGGGAGCCAAAGGTGTCGTCCTTCCTCCCCAGCGGCAGTGTGTATCCCAGGGAGCTGAAGGTGCCGTCCTTCCTCCCCAGCGGCAGTGTGTATCCCAGGGAGCTGAAGGTGCCATCCTTCCTCCCCAGCGGCAGTGTGTATCCCAGGGAGCTGAAGGTGCCGTCCTTCCTCCCCAGCGGCAGTGTGTACCCCAGGGAGCAGAAGGTGCTGTCCTTCCTCCCCAGCGGCAGTGTGTATCCCAGGGAGCTGAAGGTGCCGTCCTCCCTCCCCAGCAGCAGTGTGTACCCCAGGGAGCTGAAGGTGCCTTCCTTCCTTCCCAGTGGCAGTGTGAGTCCCAGGGAGCCAATGGTGTCGTCCTTCTTCCCCAGCGGCAGTGTGTCCTGCAGGAAGCGGAGACAGTCGGTCTCGCTCCCCAGCAGCAGGACAATATATTAAAAGGGGAGACAGTCGGTCTCCCCCTTCAACAGCAGAGAGAGTGTCAGGGAGAGGAGCTTGTTATCCCCTCTCCCCAGCGGCTGAAAGTATGTATGGGAGAGGAGCTTGTTACCTCCTCTCCCCAGCGCCAGCTTAGCCCACCAAGGGGAGACAGTAATCTCCACAACAGTGCAGATGGGACAGTGGTCTCTGCACATGCACCACCGGGGGTAGGGACAGTCGGTCCTGTCCCCCAGCAGCAGGACTGTTTAGGCAAAGGGGAGACAGTCTGTCTCCCCCTCCAGCAACCAGGCTCCAACCAGACTACTCCCGTGGTAGTGCTGGCACCAGGACAGAGTACCGCTGGTCTCTGCCCACTCAGCAACCCACCCAGTACGCTTACCAGTCACCCACACAGCCATGGTGAGGCACCTGGACACGGACAAAGTTCTCCTCTACCCAGGTGTAGTAGCCAGTTATTGTGGGTGGGCTGTATTACTGATTGTGTTTTGTGGGTGGGCTGCTGGACTAACAAGGGCACTGACCGGCAGGAGGTCAGATACCCTGTTAGTCTGATTGGTAAAGGGGAGAAGTGTGGCGGAACCAACCTCGCCACTATGCACTGGAGAAGCCTTGTTGCCAGCCTCCTGCCATGTGACTATGGCCCCTGGGATGTATTGCCCTTTAAAGACATGATTTGGGCATAATGGATTTGTGTTGTGCTGCTGCTGGCCCTTTTAAGAACCATCTGGGGACATACTGTGGAGTTACTGGGTGGCCACCATTTCCTGTATCAGAAGCACATGGTGAGAACAATGGATGGCGGCCATTTTAACTCACAGACACTGTGTGGACTTTTCAACACGGTGCCATCTCGCCAGTATTTGTTGCACAGAGACATCGTGCGTGGTTTTGGACTATACAGCAGGGGACACATTATACAGTGATTGTTTTTATTTAGCCTGTATATGTTCTGCAGAATCTGCATTAAACTGTATTTTCCAAAGTACTGAACGGATCTGGGTGAATTTTGGATATGTGGTTCACCCAGATCCCCCAGTTCCAAGGATATACTTTTTATGGGGTTATTGCATGTTTTGGGGTCCCTGTGATGTGTTTTATGAAACTGTATTTCTCTGGCTGTGATAATTAGATTACCCATTGTGTTCAGTAATCATATCACATCCAGAGGGGAGGATTTTGTGTGGGAGTGTCTGGGTGTATTGTATGGATTGATTGGCTGTTTTGTAACGCCCTGTGGGCTGTACTATGTTTGTGGATTGGGAATAAAAGAGACTGTATGTGACAGTACAGGGAGTTCCTGTTTTAACCCTCAAAGTGAAGTGTCGTCTCATTATTGGGGGAAGGATTTATTGTATGCTGTTCCAGTTTGACTGCTAGGAGAGTAAACCTATTCGTATGGTTCCTATTCAACTGTCTACAGCATTCATATGCTTGAGAGAAGGTATACGCTTCTCTGGTTTGGTGATTGTGGTGTCGGCTGCAGTGCTTGGAGTCCTCAGGAAGCGCTAGGAGCATCTTTCAACGGAGGTACCCAGTCAGGGTGCCAGGCGATCTGTTACACTGTCCATAAGAGGTGCTGCAGCAGCTGCCCGGTCTCCCTCCATGAGTTCAGCAATAAGGGTAGCTTTGGCTTTATTGCTGGCAATAATTCCCCTTGCTTCCAATAGCTCTTTTAGCGTGGCCCGTTTCAAGCTGGTATAATCTGTCCCCATTCACTATCCGTTCGGGTATATTCACATACCCTTTCCCTTCGGTTCCATACGAATGGCAAATTTCCACGAATGGCTGTAACTGCCGAACAACGGTCTGCTGTGAGGTTTGAATCCCATTGCTGCCACCAATATGTGTTTTATTGTCTTTTGCTGCCATGTGGCTAATGGAGTTTTGCCTCTGTCCTGGAGATAATTGGATTACTTCCCTAATTATCTCCAGGATAGAAGACTCTGTGGAACTGGTTTTGGGCAGAAAAGCCATGCTGCATTTGGTCAAATAGGACTTTTCCTTAACTTTTGAACCACTGGACCAATATGTATGATTTTGACATATGTTTGTATTTGGAGTATGCTGATTCTGAATGTAAGTTTTATGTGAATGTGATGCATACTTTTCAAGTTATGAATAATGTGGAAAAACTGTATTTCTCTGGCTCTGGGAGGATTTTGTGTGGGAGTGTCTTTCTGTAATGTACGTGTGTTATTGGTTGTTATGTAAAACCCTGTGGGCAGTACTAAGTTTGTGGATTGGGAATAAAAGAGGCTGTATGTGCCAGTCCAGTCAGTTCCTGCTTAACCCTCAAAAGTGAAGTGTCGTCTCATTATTGGGGGAGGATTTATTGTATGCTGTTCCAGTTTGACTGTTAGGAGTCTAAACCCATCTGTATGGTTTTTGCCTATTCAGCTGTTTATAGCATTCATATGCTTGAGAGAAGGTATACGCTTCTTCGGTTCGGTGATTGTGGTGTCGGCCAGAGTGCTTGGAGTCCTCAGGAAACGCTAAGAGCATCCTTTAACGGAGGTACCCAGTCAGGGTGCCAGGTGATCCGTTACAGCCCATTATTCATCTCATTCACCTACCAGTGTCTACACCTACTCTCGCTCGCTGGGCCAAATGGTTGTTAGCCTCGGCTGGAATTGATACCACGGTTTTCTCCTCTTACCCAGTCAGAGGAGCTATGACTTCGAAGGCGTCGACAATAGGCTATAGACTGGAAGACATATTGAAGGCTGCAGATTGTTCTATGGAATCCACTTTCTGAAACTACTACTTTAGACCAATCCAGCACTTCTCAAAATTAGTTGTGGCTCAGGTTTAAAATAGCATAATAGGAGCCTCCGTGTCTTTTAATAAAATTCCCAGATTTTACTATTAACATGACGTAAAGTAATGATTTTATTAATGATATAGAGGTGAGTATTATTCCCTCCCACAGGTTGGGATATTGGGATGATAATTTTAAGGAACGACAACATGGATTATAATATGTGATTGGAAGTACACATAGTAGGTTCAGGACATGTAATCTCAGGTAAGACATTTGAGTAACTATATCATATGAATAATTTGTGAATAATAAAGTGTTTTTCTTGATGATACGTCACAGTGTTTTCATATATGTTGAAGTCGAGTCACAAATTTTGTAATTATAATTTTTCTCTTTTTTTTTGTTTGAATGCATCTGTCAACATTCAGAAGCTTTGAGAGGGGATAAAACCGTTATCACATGGAGGATGGACATATGGCTACTATCCAGTTTCCAGTTCAGTTCGGTTTTACAGTTTTCGGTTCTGCTGGTCTTTGGATCGCTATGGAAAGAGGAATAGTTATGGAGTGCTACACCTTATATACTGGGTGCTGTTTGGTAGCACTGTTACTATGCAATGTTATTTTACTCTTTTGTATACATCTCTCTTTTTGCTGCTGAGGGAAATTAAAGGAAAGAGAAAGCATAATACTCGCCTCCGTGTCATTAATAAAATCATGACTTTACCTCATGTTAATAGTAAAATCTGGGAATTATCTACCAAATCCTGATAGTTAAAACCTGAATTATGTGTGGGCCTTAATAATGTGTAAAGGTAGATATTCAGAAATGTGTGGTCCATATAGGTCAAGAAATAGGAGTTGAGTAAAAAAAATAGTGCTTACCCTCTGATTTTGATAAGCTGTAACAGCTGTGAATTGGGTTTCAGGGAATACAAAAGTGACAAAGTTCTGATCAGCACGTGATTCCCCACCTCTGTGGCGGTCAGAGAGCAAGACATGGAGCCTTGGTTGGTATCGGTGCATGGAGTTCAGAATTATCTGTATAATTATATAAAAGAATAACACACATAGAATGGATTTGAATGAAATGTTCTTTTAACTTTTGAAATAATATCAGTATGTGAAATGCGTTGTTGGCATCACCTTTATAATATAGTCACATAACCACAAATTAGCACTCCACACTATTTCACCATTTCATTGCTACTTTATTGATATGTTCAAGGAAGTAATGTAGCAAGTGTATGTGATTACATAGATCACACTAATTTAAATAATTATATTGTCTATAATTTCCATAAGTGGTAATTGTGTTTTGTTTTGCTTTGCTCTGTTTTGTTTGAAAGCCAAACGAAGCATATCATAATTTTTGTGTGTATTATAAGATGCCCAATGCCATTTTTTGCCATTGTATTGAGTCATCAGATTTTGCATGCCCTAAAATACAGACAAGTACTGGTTATGTCTGCTGTACCATTTTCCTTGGAAAAATAATAATAATAAAAAATAAATGTACAATAAAAAAGAAAAGACAGGCAAGTACAGTGGCTTGTTTCCTTTGGCTGTCATTGGTTAACTGCACTAGGCAGTGTGGTTGGCAAACCTTTTCTTCCCCTGGTGCCCTGTAGCAGCCCATCTAGGCCCTATAAGTCTCCCTGTAAATCTCCATGTGACTAGGAAGGTTGGCTGGGCCTGATGGATATAGTGAACTGTGATAATTCAGTAAACAAATCAGACTCAGATAGCCCTCCTAAGCACAGGATGCCTAATCAAGCCCCAGCCTTGCTTCCCACCTCCACTATTAAGGCCAAAGACACAGAAGTTCCCAAGCAGAAATATCTGGTAGCTCTCCTGAACTCTCCTGTGATCTTTGGTTGAGAGTTTCAGCTGATCTGCAGGGTTTGACTAATTACACACAGGGGGTACCTGGGTACTTCTGGCACAATAACCACTACAGCTTGCTTGTAGCGTTCCTTGATTGATCTCTTCTAAACTAGGAAGTAGTTGACAGCTTTACTTACTGATAACTCCATTCACATTTTTTTAAATGGAGCTATACACACAATCCCTAGGACTTACTTACATAATTTAAAATCACTCTTATCTCTAAATGATTCTAAAAGAAATGTGAATTAAGGAAAATACTTTTAGGGAGACTCCACTATCCAAATACAAATAAAGATACTGTGTATACCCCCAGTAAAAATATGCATGCATTTAAAGTGGCACTGTCATGCCGAACTTACCTTTCTTTAATCGATTCCTCTTCTCTTCCTCTCTCAGGATCTGTTCTTCATTTCTTCCTATCTACTCTAGTTTTCTTTAAAACATAAGACAAAGTAGGGACTACTTGTCTTATGGAGGTTTCCTACGCCTGACCATCTCTGACCAGTGGAGGAGCAAAGTGTGCTTCATTTGTGGTGGTCAGAGATATTTTCCCACAATTCTAAGCTTTCCTTCCTGTTCCCACGATGCTTCCTGTCAGAATTCCAGAACATCCTGTCATTTAGACAGGACACCGGCGAAACTGCCGAATTGCATCCTAACAGAATGATAACAGTTTCTCCATTCGTGTTAGAACACAATTTGGGACTTTGTTCCCTGCTCTGTGTCATTTTACATAGCGTGGGAAAATTCCAAAGAACTTTCCCACGCTGTGTAAAATTACTCATAACACTCTGATTAGATGGCTTGAAATCCATCCAATCAAGTGCTCTGTGTTATTTTACACAGCGTGGGAAAATTCCAAAGAACTTTCCCATGCTCTGTAAAATGACATAACTTTCTGATTGAATGGCTTGAAATCCATCCAATCAGAGTGCTCTGTTTCATTTTACACAGCGTGGGAAAATTCCAAAGAACTTTCCCACGCTGTGTAAAATGACACAGAGCACTCTGATTGGATGGATTTCAAGCCATCCAATCAGAGTGTTCTGAGCCTAATTGCAGGGCGGGGCAAGGCTTTATAAGCCTTTCCCCACCCTGCAGAGTTCAGTCTGCGCAGTGCCCTCGCCGGGTGAAGATGGATTAATTTTTTTGCGTCAGGTTTTTTCTTTTACGGCAGATTTTTTTTTTACGTTATGGTTTTTTTATTTAATTTTTTTCAAGTTCGCCGGGTATTATGGTTTTTATTAGGCCTTTTTGGGGGCTGAAAAATGAAGATTTTAGAAAAAGAAGACATCAAATGGTAAGTTTTATTTTTTTACAGGTAGTTATTTTATTCCCCCCTCACTACTTTTATGGTGAGGGGGGTAGGTAGGGGATTCTTTTTTATTTGGGTGGGGGGATGGCTAGGGGCTTGGGACCACTAGTCACCTTGGAAGGGGGAGGGGGACATTTTAATTTAGGGCCCCCACCTGCCACTCAGGACAATAGGTTCCCCCCCTCATTGTTATTTATGGCCCCCACCCACCGCTCATTGGTGGGGGCTGTTGGGGGAGGACAATAGGTCCCCCCTCATTGTTTTTTATGGCCCCCAACCACTACTTAGAGGTGTGGGGTGGGGGGGGGACAATATTTATGCCCCGGGCACTGTTTAGTAGACATGCCCCTACTCCCTTATGTTATTATGGTGTTCATATTGACCCCCATAGAGTGAGGGGGACATGGGGGGCTTAGGAAGTGGCGGGGAGCACTGCCCCTGCTGCTTCTATGTTACATATTACAAGGAGGGAGCTGCATACCGGTGGCTCCCTCATTGTAATAAACTAAACGAACGAACAAACGAACACTGATATTCAGTGTTTGTTTGTTCGTCTGACATTTCTATCAGAAAGACAAATGAATGAATAGATGAAATTCCCGTTCGCATGCCCAAGTGTTTAACTGGGCATGTGCGGGAATCTCACAGTGCTATCTAGTATAGGCAGATGACGAATCCCACAGGGATTTCATCTACCCACACAAAGATGGCAATGCCAAAAACACAGGTCCGGACACAAAATAAAGATTAAAAAATAGGTAATATGGGTGGCTTAGGGGCATTTGGGGGTGACTAGGGGTCAGTTAGATGTAGTGGAGTCGAGAGGGGGGGGGTTAAAAAAACGGGACTCGGCCATGACAGTGCCGCTTTAAAGCTACCGGTTTTTTTTCAACCTTTGCAAGCCCTCCCCTCTTCCCCAGCCCAGACGTTTTGTGGCTGTCCAATCACAGACTTCCCAATGCCACTCAATGAGAAGTCTTTGCATGACAGGTGTTCTGGGCAGTTGTCTGCCTCTTGAGTTTATCTCTACTGAGCTAACCAAACCAGGAAACAACTTGAGCAGCTGTTTAATGGAGGTGTGTAACGAGGTTAATTTATAAAAGTGCCAATTTCTATTGAAACTTGCACATTCAGCAAAATGACAAAAAGATGACATCCTTAACACATAAAGCACTTCATGTCTGCACACATAAAGCACTAAGTGCTTTAGGGGTCCAGAGTGTCCCTTTAGAAAGAAGAAGAGATTAATATTCCAATAATTGTTTTGGCATTGGCAAGTTTGAAATTCACTTTGAATTCCACACAATTCACACTTTAGTAAATAACCCTGCTGATTTTGTTGTCCCCCTCCCACACACACATCCCATACTCAATTCTCTTACATGTCCTCTCATATCTTGTGCATTGTTGGTAATTTTAAGTCTATCAAAGGAAACAGTCTGCCTCATCCAGTGTGATCCTCTTGCTGGGGAGTCTGGGTGGAAGTGAAGACGACCAGGTGGTGCTGGATCTGCTGGACCCGAAACTAGCCACGAAGAGGAGTGAAAAGCATATCTGCGGGGAGACAAAAAAAAATTATTTGGAGAGAACAAAAGAGCTCGTCTGATTAAGCAGTTTGATTTTGTAATCCTCAGGTTCCTATTGCTTGTTAAACATAAATAGCTGCAGTGGGTTATTGGGTTTTCTAACTAATATAGTCAATCACAGTAAGAGGACTGAGGAAAAGGAATATCTAGACTGAATATGTAGAAATGGCCCTGTCCCGATGAAATAGTGACTGCAACATTAAAGGGAGGTGCACTGTGTATCATTTTCCATTACACCATTAACAATTTGGGCCTGAAAGGTCTCCGACTTTATCAATTTATAATAGTGCTACCTACCCAAATGCATTACCAGGTATATGACATCCAAGAGAGATATATTTGTGGCAGCTTTTACAGAATTAAACAAGCATTAATCTAATGAGTTCTATGGGTTTAATCTAAGGTTTTTTTCTTTCAATTCTAGATTTTCATTTATCTGTGGGTGCATGCTAACTTAAACTCTTTTATTTTAACCCCTTAAGGACCAAACTTCTGGAATAAAAGGGAATCATGACATGTCACACATGTCATGTGTCCTTAAGGGGTTAATGTAATTCATTTCTAAAAGAGACTTAGAGTCCATTACATTCAGATACTTTAAATGTCTTTCAGAAGTATCAACTAAACACCATATGTACTTTTTTTTTAATTTTTATAAAAAGTCCTTTCTAACCTTGGAATTCTAGTCTGTGCAAAGCACTCAAAATGTGAAAGTATTTTTGAGGCTCTGTATTTATTTTGTTATTGCGTATTGATATTTTTACGTTTAATAGTTGTATTGCTTATTATTGAATTTTATTTGGCTTTTTTTGTAGGTTAAAATAATAAGATGTGGAAAAGATGGTAAGTATTGGAAGCCTTATCACCTGACAA